CCTCACAGTTTGCTGAGGTTGGTGACTGTGCTTAACAATTACTGTTTTACAGCATCTGTAAATTGTGTACTACTTTTCGAATCACCCTGAATGATAATTATATGATAATACTATGTAGTAATAATGTTATAAAATTCAGGAATAATTCATTATATAGTCATTTTCATATGTATTGAACTACTTCAATATCAAATGGGGTCAGATATGATAATTTTTTGGCGGCTAAAGCAAAATCCCCTTTGTAACTTAAAAAACACCTACCCTCGAATTTACTTGATGCTTCTGTCCTTGTGAATATATATATATATATATACATATGCTTTTCCTCACTTCAGCGAGTCGACAAATGAGTACCAGGCTTGCTAGATAACTAAACATTGGGTGTTTCCCGTCGGGCTGAACACCTGACCGGAACATCTGCTTTTACACCTCAGCGCCGAAGTTAACGTCTAATGAGATGGGCACAGTAGACCTTCTTCTTTCTGGGCTGTTGCACCACTGAGTTTAGTTTATATATGTATAGTAGTCAAAAAGTTAATTCTAAGTTCTGACCCGCTAAATAAGGAATTTTCAATTGTGTTAGCTGGTACAACATTCTCCTAACCAAATGTATAAGATAATATTTTCTTTTTCTTGATCCTATGCAAATTGGATTTGAAACTCGAGATAAATTAAGATTGCTTTCTCATCAAGCTCTACTGTGTTTCTATATCTGATTTTATTTGAATGAGTGAATGAATATTAACGTCACCTTATTCAGCTACACGGTGGCTTCTGGGGAGGGAGCTGACCGTATTTCAAAAGCCAATATGAAATACGGTCAACTGATGAGGATACCATCTGAGCAGGCATCTCACTCTTCTATCTTCCATACCAATGGGAGGACGTTTGAGCAACGGAAGGTTTAACCTGCGTCAGGTCTTCAGAGAGGCACTTGGCTCGAACTCATGGTACACCGAACATGAGTCCTTGACCTTGACCACGAAGCTATCGAGGCCACCTAATTTCATTTGAAGTCATTCAGAGAAGAATATTAATTTTGAACATTGTTCAAGGGACGAGCCTGATATCTAAGCTGTCTCTACACTCGATATATTTCCACTTTAAGCCAGCATGAACATTTAATGTGTCTCTGTGTGAAAAAAGAAAAAGTAAAAAGAAATTTGAATTGTGTCCTTTACAAAAAGTTATTATTGCTTTAACGAAATACTTTATCTCGAATGTGAATACATTATCCACTCAAAGTAACATTCTATTTACGAATCTGAAATTATTCTAGAGCAGCAAATGTTATCCAGGAAATAAATCATCGCTTTTAGCTATTACGAATCCAATTAAGATAGTAATTTGCATTCACGCACCTTTTACTAATTCGCGTGAACTGAATAATAATGCAATTGAAATATTAAATTTCAATTACAATCATTCTCATGAAAAAAAAAAAGAATCCCTTAATTAAGGAAAGGTTACAGAAGAGAAAACTTCTATATCAAGAGGTTTCTAGTTAACGAAGATATTTCTTAATATTTAATTTAATTAAGAAAACGTACTTCAGTAGAAACGAGTTCAAATGGAATGAAAAAGAGGAAAGAGAGAGGGGACTACTTAGCAAGCTCTATGTGACTCTTACAAGCAACATTACCTTAACTGCTGCCATTAAATAATGTTCACTGTTCCAGTGCAGGATGAATTCTGATTAAGGTACTTGTTATTTCTATAAATATATAAAACTAGTATAAAGGGAATGTGGAGGATTTAGGAAATGTTCCAAAGCTGGAATTTATATTTGAATTATTTTGATTGAAAATTAGTTTCAGTATTTGATATTATGTTTAGAGATATTGAAAACACAAATGTTGAATGTATTTTAATTATATTTAATTGCTGTTAATAATAATTTTAAAATTGCACAACGTTAAATGTCAAGTTCACAGTTGACATATTCCGATTGAATATCAGCCGTTACCCGCAAGCTAAGTTGGGAGTTTCAAAATCTAACTTATTTATAAGTTATTGATAACTAAATTCTAGCATTAAGTTTTCGATTGAATTCAAAATATTTTTATAGCCTTCTCTTTTCGATTAAAAAAGCATGGGACTTGAATTTCTAAAACGGAATTTTTTTACCATTTACGTACTTGCAACTCGCACCTCTTCTTAGAAATCAAATTCCACTAACTTCGTCCATTAGCAGATCTCAAATCAACCAAAAGAAACATGCTGGTCAAATTTAGTATGTTGCTCTAATAGTTCAAAACTGTAAATGTTCGCTTATAACGGCTCCACAAAACCAATAAAGTTCGACTTTCGAAAGACCCGTTATTAGCGGATCTCTACTAAACAGGGGGGGATGCCTAGCGAATTTCAAGTCATTGATTCTAATAGTTCTGGAGATTTCGTTAACAGGTTGAGGCACTTTTCTCATTTACAGGGTCATTCTAACTAAAGTTTCATTTTTAAAATGCTGTTCAAAAGTATACACTAGTCAAAATGAGTTCCACTTTAAATTGAATATGCTTTAAAATAGAAGAAAGGGTTATGGTACAAGAAAACAGTTCCAAAGAGTGTCAAAAGATAGAGCGTAAGAGACAAAACGAAAGTAGATACGGCTGCAAAAGGTATTTTGAATTGAATTACGACGGTTTCGCACTTTAAACTAATCATTGTTCCATATGCATGAGGTTTTTTTTCTTTAACTTTAAAAAATGATTTTCAAGTTATTTAACAGTTGTTGCAGTGTTAGTGAAACGCCCATCCACACACACACACACACCAAGGCGAGGTAGTACCACATTGGATGTGAAAAATCAGTTTTAATTGTCCTTGGACCAAAAACCACATTAAAAACAGCAATGAAAAAGACACACTATTTTGTTTCTTATGCCGTACTATTTCTTATTCTTCAAGTATATTCAGTTCAAATTTGAAGTGATTCCGAGTGGGCCTGCTTTTCAATTTCTACTATTAGCTCACTCTTACCCTATATGAAGGGTGTATCTAAACACTGCGGCAAAACTTTAAGGGGCGATAGTACACATCAAGACAAACAATAGTAAATATGAAACTTAGGGTCCCAAACGTCTTCCGAAGAATATAGGTGCCATTAAAGTTTAGGGTTCGAAATTTCAAATGATTATAAAAAAAAAGGAAAAATGGGTCGATTCGTTAGCGATTTTCTCTAAAATTATTCTTTTTATCTGTATTTCCATGAAAAATAAATTTTAAAGATAAAGCTCAAAAATTTCGATAGAGGGGGGGAGGGGCTTTAGACTTTGGAGTAATGAACAAATATTTTTTACTTTTATTTTTTGTATCACATTAAATGCTTTCAAAAGCTTAGACTTAAATTTAAATTTTGAGCTCAAAATTTGAATCTTTCGGGGTGATTACGTAGTGCAAACTCAAATGTGTTCAGGAGGTGAAATTTGAACTCACCGCCTTCCCTGGACACAGTTCAGTTCTTCACGATCTTCGATGCTCGGTCGTAGACTAGACATCAGTTACTAACCGATAAACGTAAAATAATCGAGAGAGGGAATATTATATAGAATTAAATAAAAAAGTTATTCATAACAGACATGAGCAATTTCTCCCCACAAAATACCCGATTATGCAAAGCACCCGATTTACATGCAAAGTGAAGTACACAAGGATTTAACTGTATGGGGCTAATTGTACGGAATGATGTAAAGTTCTACTGCAAAGTATTCCAGCCAACATAAAGGCTTGTATGTGGTTCCAACATGACGGAGCGTCTGCACATTTCAGTGCAGATGTGTGAAGTGCATTGGATACAGCATATCCAGGGAGATGGATTGGGCGGGGTGGTCCGATAAATTTACCGACATGCTCGCCTGACCTCTCCTGCCAAGACTGCTTCCTCTGGGGCCATATGAGAATCTTGTTTACTCAAGCCCCGTCGATTCCGACGAGGCCCTGGTTGCGAGGATTGTCGTCGTACCAGGCGAATTCCGGGAGATGCCCGGGGTATTTTCTAATGTTCGACAGTCCCTCGGCCGGTGATGTGAGGTGGTGGGCTCTTTTTCGAGCAGTTTTTGTGATTCCGTAAGAAAATCATGCGTGTACCATTTTCTATGTTTTATCATCCATTCAACCTTCATTCATAGGCACTACGTGCGTATATCAAAATGTTTCTTTTTATTTTGAACATAGAAGGTGCTCATGTCTATTTTGAATATTTTTTTAAATTTCTGTCTACCCTCTCTCGTATACTTTACGTGTAGGAGGTAGTAGTCTCTTCCTGGTCTACGACACCAAGTCCTACGTTACAAAGATCGAGAATAACTGAACTCTGTTCAGAGGGGAAGGGAGTTTCTCTCAAATTTCACCTCCTGAACACAATTCCGTTATCGCTACTTAACCACCCCCAATGATTAAAATTTTGAGCTCAAAATTTAGGTTTAAGTCTAAGCTTTTGAAAGAATTTAATGTGATACAAAAAATAACTGTAAGAAATATTTGTTCGTTACTCCAAAGTCTAAAGCGCCTTCTATCAACCTTTTGTGAGCTTTATATTTAAAATTTATTTTTCAAGAAGATACTGACAAAAAGTAAAATTTTAGCGAAAACCGCTAACGAATCGGCCCAATTCTTTTTTCTTTTTTATAATCATTTGAAATTTTGGACCCTAAACTTTAATGGCACCTATCTCCTTCGGAAGACGTTTGGGACCCTAAGTTTCCTACTTACTATTGTTTGTCTTAATGCGCTATCCCCCCTTAAAGTTTTGTCGCAGAGTTTAGATACACCATGTATATATATATATGTATATATTTAAATATCTTATTCAAATTTTCAATCGTTAATAAAGTACTTTCTATTCATCCGTTCAAGTTCAAATACATTTTAAAAATTTGTAGGAGATGGAAACTTAGTTTTTTTCAAATATTAATTAATTCATTAAATTAAAAAATGAATCAATAATAACACACAAAAATAATAGTCCAGCAGTATATATAGAGAGATAAATCGCTTCTCGTGTCACTGTAGCGCAATTAAAAGCGCGTTGGACTTCTAATCCAAGGGTGGTGGGTTTGAATCCCACCTGAGATGACCTAATTTCCAAAAATGTGATTTATTTTTTTACTATACTATTTTATTAGAATAATTAAATTTAATTGATAAATAAATAGTAACTGGCAAAAGAGATAGTCGAACACCCTATATAGAAAGGAAATTGGTAAATCGCTTTCTATTTTGCCACTTAAAAGTGTGGTTCTGTTATATGTATATACATATTTATATATTAAATGTAACTATTTAATAAAAAAGTAACTAAAATAAAAGGTTTCTTTGTTGCCCTATGTAAGAATTGACTTAATTTTTTATATAACTTATTTTATAGCAGTTAGGAAGTAAAACTTAAATTATAATCACGCTGTATGTAGAGTGAAATTTAATTAACATAACTGATATACTCCTGCATAATTGCAAAGTGCATCCTTATGTATTTTGTTTTTCCAAAAAAATACATTTTTTTTATTTTTAAATAAAAGAAAATATTGTTGATTATTATTTTTTAAAAGATAGCGCAACTAGTAATATAAAAAAAATTGTGAAGTCAATTCTTACACTTAGATAAACAAAGAAATATTATATTTTAGCTATTTTTTATTAAAAAAATAGTTACAATTAATATAAATGTGTATATACATATGACAGAATCACAATATTAAGGGGTAATTAATTTCTATTAATTATCATTAAAGTATCGTATTCTGAACCAAAACAATCGTGTATATATAATTTCAGCTTAATTCAATGCTTTAATACGTGAAGAAAAAAAATATCTTAAAGTTTTGATCCAAGTCACTAAAAGTGATACCAACGTGGCTCTAACTGTAATTCTCTAAACAATTAGTTTCTGTCAATTAATTTTAATTAATTATAATTAAATTACTGTATTTTACCTCAAACAATAGTGTATAGAAAATTTCAGCTCAAATGAGTGCTTTAAAACGGAGAAAAAAAAAACCCTTTTCAAGTTTTGACACAACTCGCCAAAAGGGTAGCTAAGTCACCAAAAATGATGCAAACGTGGCTGTATTTGTAATTTTTTAAATAAATAGTTTTAATCAATTAATTTTTATAATTAAAAATTAGTACATTGTCATCCAAAATAATCATGTATATAAAATTTCAGCTCAATTGAGCGCTTTAAAAAGTATTTTATTAACGATTGAAAATTCCACGAAGATAAATAAATAAATATACAGATAGTGTGAGCTATATAATAGTAGGAATTGAAAAAAAAGTACTGAGGTAAAAGTAATTTATCATATGACATCACGTATTTTTGTCAATCAAAAACGTTAATATATTTTTATCAAAATTTAGCTCAAATTTAACGTTTAAACGTAAAGGAAACCGTAAAAGTACTGAAATAAAAAGAGAAACGTTTCAATTATTTCAGCCCTGAAAAGAGTTTAAATGAATGAATGAATGCATTATTTTAAATGGAAAAAAGCACACGATTTTTTAAAAGTAATTCAATATTAGAGAATCAGAACTGCTTTAAATGGAACAAAAACAAATTTCCGACTTGTACTAAAATAAAAATGAAATGGTATGAAATAAAACTTTTTACGAAAGTGCAAATTATGACCCGAGTATATCCCACAAATGAAGAACGGTTAAAAAGCAAACACTGTCTAGGATTGATTCTATTTATTTAACAAAGGCCACTGCGAAAGGAAATTGTCTAGCTCAGTTATACGGAAACAACAGAAATTTATCTATGTACTTTAACACTGGCACTTTTATAGCATTTCCTTTACTTTTATTTGTAGAGGAGACATTTCATAATATTTCTGCTCTTTTACAAAGATTATAGATAATAAGATTTCTCTTTATTGCTAAGGCCTTTATTCCAGAAAAAAGATATCGTTTATAGTATACATTATTCTTATGTTATTACAGCATTTAATCTCAGCAATTGATAATAAATATTGATTCAATAGCTTATGTGTTATTTTTAAGGCGTGCGCATCTTATTTATTGCTGATTGAGAAGCGTATTTTGCCTCGTTTTTCTTGACTGATAGTAAGAAAGTTGGATAATGAATGCTACAATTATATTATTTTATCTGTGAATTAAATTTCGTAAGTGACCCTGGTAGCCAACTGGTCAGTCATGAACACAAGGTCGGCGTGTCATATGTTTGAACCCTAGTACCACTGATGATGGGTTGGGACTGATTTGCGTTAAATATGTTATAGTTGAAAGTGCTCTCATTGACATTATGTGGAAGTTCGGAAAGGAGGCGACCAGCTCAAGTTCAAAATCATGAGGTCCAACGTCAATGGCCACCTTGTTGGCTCTGTAGGTCGATGTTAACAAACACTCATTCACATTAAATTTCATTATATGAAGTATTTTAACAACATCCTTAATGATTGTTTTTGTCAAACACATGACTTTTATTGAAGTACTAATTTAATGAGGAGAATGTTCACCACCATTTGGCTGGAAAATCAATGTTTCATATATTGTTGTTAATAATATTAACGTATAATCGTATTTTGTAAAATAACTTGCTGAAAAATATTAATAATAAAAAAAATGCAGTTTTTATATACTTTTAAAACATAAATCAATGTCTATTGTTTTGAAAGAAAATAAATTAAGAAATGAGAGTTATTAATTATTTCGGGGAATTTTATGTACGCAGAAAAAAAGCAAGAAACTCCTGAATTTCACATTTTATATTAAAAAGTGAACTAAATTTTGTAATCAACAAATCTAAAATTGGAATGCATAAAATATCCAACCACTTCTGGAAAAAAATCATTGGATGATTGATTTTTTTAATTCCATTTTCGAAGAATTACATGATGATATCATTCATCTCATGGTAGCCTTTTTCTTATTTATTTCATTTCTAGGTTAATTGAAATAAAATAATCCCGTTCCTTTTATATAATGAGTTAGTGTTATAAATTAATCTAATTAAATATATAATTCCACGGTCTTTAGTCTCTTTCAAAACATCTTCTTTTAAGTTCCTCATTGATAAAAAATCATTTATTTTATTTTTAGGATGTCTGTGTATATTTATCTTTGTTTGAATACAAGTCAGTGTTCATTGCTCACTAATAACCTTCGAAAACATAAATCAGTGGTTCTTAAATATTCGATCTCCGTTGACTCCCTTTTATATATCGGCATGATGTCATTTACCCCTAAAATTTTGAACATTCCTCTCGACGATATTCTTGATGTATAGCAATATTTTATACAAGTTCCAGTAGAGGTTTTTCATTGGGGACAATTTAGTGATTTAGTCAAATATGGCACACCTTTCAATTTTTCAATGAGGCCTTTCAGGGACTATAAAAGAGGGAAATCTAAACACTACACGAGAAACTTCGTGGAGCCTCAAAGGTCCTCGGACCACATTTTAAGAGCCACTGATATAAGTGAATACAGTAAAAAAAATACGGAATGAGTTCTATTTAATCCTTACAGCTTCCATAGCCAAAATGTTTTTTCTAAAATGGTAGAATCTATATGCGTAGATGCTTCGACAAAAATGGATGCAAATAGAATCCTTCATTTTTATATAAATGCGTGCGTGTTTGGTTTTAAATTTCTACAAATGTCTCTATAACGGGACTGATATTTTTCCATCTTGATGAACTGAAATTCAATTATTAGCACAAAGCAATTCCTGCAATCATGTCTGCTTGTTTTACCGAAATAAAGTAATTCACGAAGTGGTAATACCAATAAATTGTATATTAAAAAACTATACATATTTATCACATTATGCTCAAATATTTAATTTACATGAAATATTCTGAATATGTGTGGGAGTTTAACAATTTTCATTTCAGACGAATCTGAGAAGAGAAAAAAAAGGATAAACAAATTGAAGTATGTACAAATATTTAAGGATTGCATATTTGTTTTATGTGATGATCTCTGAGAAATTTAATTTAAAAATATAACTAGACCATGAAAAATATATTTATTTATTTATTGTTCAATATATCTGGAATCACAGCATGTCAAAGAAATTTTTCAATTGTTCATTGTTTACAAAAGAAATACTTCCCAGATATTAATATCTGGATTAAAACGAAGAAGAATAAACTTACCAAAACAGTTTTAAGAAAATAATGGATGCGATTTTTTTATAAAAATGTAAATAAAGTATAAAGAATAATATTCATAAAAGAGAAAAGCAGTCTACGAGAAAATCTAGTGTACTGTTCCTTCTATTGAATGCAAATTCTGTTCAAGAAAATTGCTTGTTGGGTGAAGTAATGCATAAGGGAAATTTTTCCTTTCAAATACAAAAGCATTTCCTTAAAAAAATTAATTACATTTTTAATGTTAACAGATTTCTATTATAGATACCTATGAAGGAAGCATGAATTGTAAAAAAATTTCATTTCAAATAGTGTTACGTTTATTGCTGTTCGATAATAGTAGTTTTAGACTGTAAATATTTCAAATGAAATAATATCTTTGTACACATTTTTATTAATATTAATATTAAACTAAGAAACTAATATATGCAGAGTTTCCAGTTTCTCATTTTTTTATTTATAAGATATAATATAAATTACATTTTGCTTAAAAAGACATTAAAGGTCAGATTTCTAACAAACAACAATTATCTTCAGAATAATTATTTTGTGAAGATTGGTTACTGCATGAATTTTTTTGAAACGCTGATTTTACAGAAGATAAAATTTCGTTAGAAAAATATAGCATTACACGTATATCATTAAAGTTACTCATACTATAATTAATATATTATTAATTAAAAAAATATATTTCCAAAAATCATTAGTCAATTAAAAGTATTATTATACAAAAAATAATAATATAACTCTTTTTGAAAGAATCGTGTATGTTCTAGGATTATTTTCTTAACAGAATATTTATACTACATGTTCTCTTATCAAAAATGTATTGTATTTACCAAGTAAGAAGTGTAATTATTACTTTGCCATGTAAAATGCTTCATAGTTATCCTCAATATTCCTTTATACTTAGCCAAAATTAATTCAGAGAAATGAATATGCTTTATTTAGTATAGTAAAGCA